AGCATGCAAACACATTGGTCTTCCCAGCGTTTATAGACAAAACCGACCGATTTAGCGACCTACCTCGTTCATCGGTGCTACCATAGACTAGATCACCAAAGCCTGAAGCTATTAAAGCGATGACACTCACGTACTTGAGATCAGTCGACCGGCATCCGAATGTTGGGGTTAGATTATCAAATCTGAAATTGGTTGTGACCGTTTGATAAGCCAGGACTAGCTGGCCCAGTGTCATTGTCCTTGCGAGTACTCTGTCTCTAAGAGCTCTTCAGTATGAGTTCGTCTGTGAGGCTTCTAAAACGGAACTTGCAAACCAATCAGTCTCGTCTGTATTCCTTCTTGTGCAACTAGGATAATTAAACCAAAGTTACTTCCAAGCGGCCATGGCATGACACAAATCTGGAAATTAGCGAGAATATTGCTACTTTTGGTTTATTTGCACATGCCAGTTAGGGTCAGTTCAACCTTGGTCCCAGCTATTGGAGACCTGGGACTCGAACTCCCCCGACAGCTCTAGCACCCAGCTCTGGCCGGGACTGTGTCGGCTAAGCTCTGGAATACAAAAATCCCTTGCGGGGGCCGCTCAATCTCCTGCTTTGTCCATAGCTGTAGACTAAACGGCGTTCGGTAGTAGAGCGGGAGACGTACAATCCCGTTTTTAAAATAATCTCAAATGCGCATCTTTTCCAGTATCCCTGTCTCTAGAAACGGACTTCTCAGCCATTAAACTCCCCTGAAACACGTAACATGGTTTCCCTATTGCGTGGTTTACCAATTCGTGCTCATTGCATGTGCCGTTGAGTCCCGTTTGCGCAAATGCTCTCACAAGTTTTCTGTTACAATCGGAAGTATGCTTTAAAATACTGGCACCCTTGAACAATTACTTCTCTACCGACACCCCCAGCTCTTGGTTTTGTATAGGAGCTTGTCAAATGCTAATAAACTCTCAAAAACCGGACCTGTTTAGGACAGTTTAAGGCCAGCTCTTCTCGGAAAGATTACTCGCTTGTGAGAATTTTGGCTGATAGAAAAGTGTATTCATTTTCCGCGCTTTTAGGCTGTCTGGTTAATTGTGGTTGGTTTCCATTTGGTCCTCTATCTAAAAGATATTAAATTTCCCCAGAGCCTAACTTTTTTGAGAAAAGTGGCTCAGACATTTTTTTGAAAGGAAAACCGTGTTAGACCGAAATATAACCATCATCCCCTGCCCTGAAAACAACTTCCAGGCAGCCCTCAACATAGCTCCGGCGTCATTGTTAAATTTTCGTGGTGCCCGTAAGAAAGGTATCGACCGAACCCATGATCATTAATGTACTCCCATATTAACTCGCTCATTTCTAACCCTATGCATTTCCTGCTGGTCCCTGAGACGTTTTCACATTCAAGTTTGTCCATATAAGCATATCGGCAGGCGTTAATGTCCATTATCTCGCCGTATACCATCATATCGGTTTCATTTTCTGTGGCTCCCTGGCGTATGCTGCTAACAAAAAAGAGGCCAGATGACCATGCTTTCCAGTTTATCATCTTCGGTGCGGATATTAAATTGAAACATTGCTTTCCCGGAAGATAAAGATCACAAGACTACCAGAATTAATTGACGTCACGTAATTTTGCGACCTCTTTTTCAACTGCAAACGGTCACTGCCTATAAATAAGATAAATAAACTGCCCAATTAAGTGTCGACCTAGAAGGGTGAATCTTCATACGTAAATAGAGTAGGAGCTATTATCATTATATGTGGGTGCGTGATGACGGGGGAGGTAGTTATCAGCTTGTGGAGTGTGATTAAAGGGGGAGGGGAAGGACAGGGTAGCAATCAGTCATAAGGAGGAGGGAGAAGGCGTGAGAGGGAATGAATTTATC